CTTAATCAGATGGTAAGGAGGTGATTTCAAAAGACTTACAGCACGGAAAGTCCAAGTCAGTCCTGGCTCATGGGGTCTGTGTGCCTGCCTCGCCGAGGGAGGCTGACCCAGGAAGGGTGTCGTCCCTCTTGTGCAACTGTATTTGCTGTGACCAAATGGCATAATTTATTTTTATCTTGGATTCCTCCACCCCCTCAGTGAAATATTCTTTTCTTAGGCCCCTAATTTTAATTTGCATCATCTTAAAAGTCAACAAAGGAAAACCTGGCTGCCGTTTTGATTCTAGAAGGCCAGCTTGGTATCTCTTTGATCACGTTTGTCTGAGCCTCCCAGGCTCACACACCATCCTTCTCCTGAGATTAAGGCCTTGGCTGATCGCCTCCCATGCGTCCCCTGACCTCATCAGCCATCCCAGTTGTAAACACGTCTCCAGGGCCCGGGAAACATTTCTCAGAGAGTAAAACGGCCATCACACAAATCTGCAAAGGTTTTCTGAGATACATCACACAAAAGCAACATTTACACAGTGATAGTTTGGGTGAGAATTACTAAAGTCTGCAAGATCAAGCAATGTGACTGTCACTGTAGTGCTGGATCTTTTGGCCCTCCCAAGGGGCAGGGGCGACGTCTGCAAGCGTCTGTGCCAGGCTCGGGGAGGCGGTAGGCTGAGGGTGGACACTGCCTGCTGTCCCTTTACCATCTAGGAAGAAACTGATCCTAAAAATCCTAGTCCTCATTCATTTATTGAACAAGCAGTTACCAGCTCGGCATTGTTCTCGGTGCTGAGCAGTCAGCAGTAACCAACGTGGATCAAATTCCCATCCTGGGATTTACTTTCTGGTTCATGATGCTGAATCATAAATGAGATTATTGAGGCTCATATGCCTAACACACTTTACCCAACAAATTACACCCGTGCTAGTTAGTGGTAACTCACGGCCGCCTTTTAGAAATGTCTCTTTAGAGGCCCAGCATGCCTGAATTCTTTCAGGAAGCCACGCAAACATTTCCCCCTCCCTCTTGATGCAATTATGATGGAGAAGGGTGTTTTATAGAAATGGATTTTCAAGTCACTGAGGTTTACTCTCTCGGATTGTGAACTTTAAAAAATTATGCTACCAATGATGCAATTTTGTCTCACACTCCAACGGGGATAATATCCCTTTGTTTTCTGGATGATCAGGATAATGACTCGATCTATTATTGGGCCATATGGCTGTGGGGTTGTATGTGCTTCTTGGTGTCGCAGGCTCTTTCCTCGGCTGTGTGCCAGCGCCCGTTTTTTCCTGCTGATGGCCCCGCCTCCCTCTTCACAGATGGTACTTTTTTTTAGTTGTTTACAATGGTTGTTCCAAAACTGTATTTTCTAATGAGAATATTAATGTCAACATCACGTTTGCTTGTTTTGCATTTTTCCTTTTCATCTTGTATGTGTCTAACTATATATATTTATAGACAGCTATTGATACATGCACACACACAGATTTATTTTAAGGAATTGGTTCACTAATTGCGGAGGCTTGGCAAGTCCAAAACCTGCAGGGTGGCTGGCAGGCTAGAGACCCAGGGAAGAGTTGTAGTTGAAGCCCAAAGGCTGTCTGGTGGCAGAATTCCTTCCTGCTCCAGGGAGTTCAGTCTTTTTCTCTTCAGGCCTTCAACTGATTGGATGAGGCCCACCCACAGCATGGAGGGTTATCTGCTTTACTCAACATCCCCTGATTTAATGTTAATCTCACCAAAGTACCCTCACAGAAACATCTGGAATAATGTTTCAGCAAATATCTGAGTACCCATAAAACGATGTCACATAAAATTAACCACCACACATCCCCTATTCCCATTTTTTCTGCAGAGGATACTACTCTTATTATTTTGGTGTAATCCTTCTAGATGTTTTCTGTGCATTTTCTGGTTGGTTGTGTGTGTTGAGAGCTTTCATCCACTTAGACGATGATCAACTTGCTCCCCCCACACTCTTGATCTGTTAATATAATAGATGATGTTATTAAAATCCTTTACATCAACCTTTCTTCTTCCAAGGAATGGAGTTTTGGTTCATTTTTGTTTTCCTATGTACAAAACTTTAGAATTTTTTTTTTGTGTGTGTGTGTGTGTGAGGAAGATTGGACGTGAGCTAACATCTGTTGCCAATCTTTCTTTTTTTTCTTGAGGAAGATTGTCACTGAGCTAACGTCTGTGCCAATCTTCCTCTATTTTATGTGGGATGCTGCCACAGTGTGGCTTGATGTGCTAGGTCACCTGGGGTCCGAACCCTTGAACCCCAGGCCGCCGAAGTGGAGCACGTGAACTTAACCACTATGCTGCTAGGCCAGCTCTGACCCTTACAATTTTTAAGCAGAAACACCTCAACTTATTTTCTTCATTGCGCCACCTTTTCTGCTATGTGTAGACTTTGAACCTTAGTGCTGTGTTTTCATGGCCTAGAATTCCTCGCTGACTCCCAGATGGGGGCTTCCACTTGTAGGTAGCTGTGACTTAGTTTTTTCTTAGGTAATAGAAGTTTATTCTATAAATGCTTTGCTTATAATTTAAGAAAGAAGCTACCTGTGGCTTCAGGGAGCCAGCAGCAAGTATTCTGTCGATTCCACAAGTGGACAGGGTTTGCCTTTGTGACAAGTCTTTTGTTCCCGTTGTCTTGGGAGATTATGATCAGAGGTTGCCAAAGATTTTGTCCTTCTCCTGTCACCCTCCTGTCGGGGGCTGTTCGAGCTAAAACAGAGTGTCTCCTACACTTAAACACTACTTTTAAACGTGGAAATGGCAGACTTTTGGAACAGACCCCCAGATGGTAGGGGACAAAAGCGATTGTCTTCAATCAGAAGGCAAGTCTCTGTGTGGGAAGACTGGAGTTACCACTTCTGTGTCTGATACCACTGTACCCTGAGCCCTCAATTTTAGTTACCTATTTTTTTTCTTTTTGATAAGCTTCATTTCTGAGCTAAAGTTATGTTCAGATTTCTAAGCCTACTATCAGCCGAGGCCAGCTGCCCATCGGGAAGTCTTACCCTGGGTGTTTGGAGGAGCATGAGGGAGCGGAAGGGGCCGTGGTTCCAGAGCAGCCGCCTCGGTGGCTGGGGTAGGAAGGAGTGGAGGTGAGGGTGACAGCCCAAGAGCGAGCTGAATCAAGAGCCAGGTACTTCAGGAGCCCTGGAGAGCGTCTCTCTATTATCCACCAATGAAACAGAGAAATAAGGAAATTCTTCCTTTCCACCCGGGTCCTTAAGTAAAGGTTGGATGGCAGGATCCGCAAAGGCAGGCGCTCTGGTGACGTTTCTGCCCGGCAGGTTTGCAGTGTGTGCCGGGAACTTTCCAAACAATTCTTCCCTTTAATCCAGAAATACTACTTCTAAGAACGTCTCCTGAGAAAATAAGGATTGGTATGCACCAAGCCTTAGCTTTAGGGGTTTTCAGTGCAGGTTTTACTCATAATAGATAAAAACAGAAAACAATCTCAGTGTCCAAGAAGCAGCGATTCCTTAAATAACTAGGATTCTGCCATACCCCACATCCGCTGGAAATGTTAACACAGAAGTATTTTTATGGATGTGAAAAGATGTTGCTGATACATTTCTCAGTGAAATATATAGCAAACAATCTATTTTGGTTTAAAGAAAAATGTGTGTGTGTTTGTGTGTTGGGGGAGGTCACGCCTGGGTGTTTTGCCTGTGTAATGTAAAGTGACAGAATGGGGTCCCTGCTCCCCTCTTCTACCACCAGCCTGATTGAACTGATAAAAGTCAGATGAGGTTCGGTTATTCCTCAGACGCATCTGTATTTGTGACCCTTGGGGGCGTGTTGCAGATTTCCAAAGGGACAGAGCCCATACCCTGGGGTGGCAGATGGAAAAACCTGCTAGTGCCCAGTACAGACCCAAGTGTACATCTAACACCCAAGGGGATTTTTAGTGATGTCCAGCTATTATGGCTTATGAATAAGTTAGGAGTCTTTGCATTGCAAGTGGCACAAAACCCAATTTAAATTAGCTTAAGCCACGTCCCCCCTCAAAACAACAGCAACAACTAAAAAACAATGGGCGTGGGAAAGGGTTATTGGCTCTCATCATTGAAAAATGCAGAACCATTCATGTCAGGTGGGTCTTGATCCAGCTGCTCACACAGTGTCCCCAGGACTACTTTCTATGTCTCTCCACTCCGTCTTCATAGTGTGAGCTTCATCCTCAGGCTTCAGGTGGACTCCTGGGCAGCATCACCCTCTTCTCTCCTGAGGGCACGATGGTCACGGGAGCTACGTCCTGCCCTCCTCTGTCCCCACCACCTGCAGCAGAGGTGGCTCTCAGCGCCTGCATGAGCTCCTTGTCTCTCATTGGCCCAGTTCAGTCACATGCTCTCCCTGAACCAATCACTGTGCCCAAGGTGCGAGAGAGGTGATTGGCTTGAACCTTGGAACCCGGGATGAGGTCCCTCCCGCTGGACCTGCGTGGCTGTTGTTTGCAGTTTGTGTTACTTGGTTGTGGCAGCCACAGGAAACAAATACAATTTCTGAGGCCCAAGGGAGTATTAAACTGAACTGAGAAACACGTGTTCAACCCACACGTGTACTTGTTCTGCTTCACATTTCTGTCTCCTTCCCCGTGAGCCCACCCCAGCACCCTAGGGGAGACTTAGCCACGCCCCCTGCACCCACCTGCGGTCCCTCGTCTGCTTTCTGACACAGTCGATCGCTTCCTTGTGCATAAGGAATATAGTTCATGCTTCTCCCTCGTTAGAAGGCAAGCCCCAGGAGGGCAGGGATCTCGGAGTTGCCGAAGCCCAGTCCTACTCGCAGTCAGGGCTCAATAAACATTCGAGAATGGGCGCTCGCTGACTTGCTCAAAACTGCCGCCCAGAGCTTGGAACTGGGGTCCTCCGCGTCCTCACTGCTGCTGGTCCAGCCCCCCGGGAGGGCAGAGGGTGCACGGGGGTCTGCAGTGGTGATGCTCGGGGTCTGCCCCTCTGACCCACTTCCCTCTTCATTTCTAGACCGGCCTTATTGTCGCCTGCTACCACGGCTTTGTGGATACCGTGGTGGTCTTAGCAGAGTGCCCCCACGTTGACGTCAACTGGCAGGACAGCGAGGGGAACACGGCCCTAATCACGGCTGCGCAGGCAGGTAAGACCCGCTTCTCCTTCCCTCCCGGAGCCGAGGCCCCACGGCAGCGCCAGGCAGTGGGGGGCCCTGCGCATGGACTCGGCCGGGCAGCGGGGGCCCCCATGCATGGACTCGGCTCGTGAGATGGAGGTAGTCAGGACGTACATCGATCAGAATCTTGTTCTACTGCTAGGAGGCACAAGAAAAGAGCTGATCAGGGCGTGCACGTTCTCTTTGTGCAGCTGACACAGTGCAGAGTTTACTTCTTTGTGCTGAACTCAGTATGGGGCAGATCTAGCTCTGAAACTGCCCGAAGTCTTTGAATAGGAAGCTGCACGGGAACCCAACCCCGTCATCACTTCCCCTAGAGCATGGCGCCCCATCCAGCGCTTGGTCGACAGAAGGATGCTGGTGAACCCGGTGGCGGACAAGACAGGATCCTGTGTTAGTGATATGTTAGTGATAGTTGATGTAGAAAAGTGGATGTATTTGCAAGGTCACCTTGCTCTTTGCCTGTAGATGGAAAGCCAAGGCAGGAGCTACTTGCTGAGAGTGTATCCATAATAAGGCGGGACTGTCAGCGGTCCTTGTAGATGTATATGGGAGGAGGTGTCCTTCAGCCCAGGACGATTTCCTCAGGAGGTGGGACTTATGCCACCCTTGCCAAGTGCATTGTGGCGCTCCTCTTCTAGAATTGTTTTCAGACCTTTTTTGAGACAAACAGGAGAGGTATGCTTGTCCCTTCAGAACCACGCTTCATTTGTAACCATGCTATTAACTGAGTTCCTAGCTGACCACTTTCGAAATTCTTGGCTTCCAGGATTACATGTATTATGACTCAAGCAAAGAAACTGCTTCCGGCTGAGTTACGAAGAAAAGACGGTTGTTTATTAACGGAATGTAGGGCACGTGGTGTTGTTGTTGAGTTGTTGAGAATTGGACTCAGGGCCAGGAAGCTGGAGAAAATGCCCCAAACCATAGTGCGTGTTGATTCTGGAAAGGGAACTTCTGCCACTGCTGCCACAGAGAGACCTCCCTGGCCCTTCTTGGTTCATAAGCCATCATGAATGACTCTGATCCGGGCAGCCTGGCGTGACGAGAAAAGCTAGCGTCAGGCAATTTCATCCCCCGTAACGGGAAGTAGTCAGTGCACGCCGCTTTTCTGTTAAGACACGTAAGGTGGAGAACTCCCCCAGCTTGGGAAGGGGTCAAAGGCTGTGCTGACATATGTTCCCCTTGTCAGGTTTCAGGGTGTGAAGCTTTGCCTCCAAGGAGGCACTCTAGGCATTGAAAGCCCAGGGGCCCAGCTTCCTGAGCAGCACAAGTGTAAAAGGATATGGTAAAAGGTGTTCAGTGATGGTGGACTCATCCCTCGTTACCTCCCACTGGCCAGGAACCGGGTCAGGGACCAAGGATGCTGAACTGAAGGGCAGTTCTACCCTGGAGTAATTCTCCAGCTAAATAGCTGTCTGATGGAGGGTGCGTGGAGTGAGACCACCCCATCTTGCCTGATGGCTTAGAACAGGGGTCGTGGAAGAAGGGCGCTTGAGTGAGTGGCAGAGAAGTCAGAGGCAGGCAGTTGCAGCCGATGCCTTGCAAAACCAGGCGGCCAAGACGGAGCCCGACTTGTCTTAGGAGCGGCATAGGTTGGTGTGGCTGTAGGATGGCGGGTATCTCAGAGAGGTGAGAAGTGGCCCCATGAGGAGCCAGAGACCAGATCATTAAGGGTCTGGAAGCAATGCGAGGGGATGCATTCGGGTGACCTGAGGCTGGGTGTGTGGTCACGCGGCTGGATGATCCCAGTGGACGCTGAGGCGGCTTCAGAGAGCAGAGAAGGACCAAGAGCTGCGAGGCAGAAAGCTCAGGTCTCGGTGGTGATGTGGGCGGTGGAGGAGAAGTAGGGGCTGGGATGGCCTTCAGCCTTCTGGATGGGGGATGACACTAACTGCCAAAGGGTGTGTGTAGAAGGATGGATGGAGAAACATCGGTTCCATTGGGCGTTCAGGCCTTTGAAATGCTGAGACACCCAAGAGGTCTCGAGGGCAGGTGGAGAGCATGGAGCTCTGAGCTCCAGTCCCTCCTGAGTAGAGATGGCGGCTCTCAGGAGTTCTGGAGAGCGGGCCATGGACTGGACCAGAGCACGCACAGTAGGAGGATGTGCAGTCAGAGGAGATTGCTGTGGTTGTGGAGGAGCTCTTCGTGTGTTAGGGATGTGAGCTGTGGTGTAATGGCAGTGAGGGACTTGAATTCTTGCCTACTTGAAAATGTTTTTATTTTATATTCATCTAGGAATAACAACTTATCTTTTGCCTTTTTTTAAAAAATTTAATGCTGCAGGGGAATAGTCTGAGTCCAGTTGCTTTTTGCATCTTTGTTGATACCCTGATATTTCTTAGTCTTGGAAATATCTCCTGCCTCATCCTTGACATTGAAAACAAACAAACAAACAAACAAACAAAACCCCAAACCCCTCCCCATGGTCTATCTCAGATCCTTCTCTCTGTGTTCGTTTGACTTGTGTTAGGGGGCTTTTTACTTGAGGACATGTTTTCCTGTTCTCTCTTCGCACGCCGTGTCTGCCTTGTTTCACTCTTCCTGGAGTCCTTCTTAGGTCTAGATGAGGTCACCTGCTTCTCATTTCACAACTTTCCTGTTTTTCTTTTTTGTCCTTTTACTCTAGGATCTGGGCACATGGTTCATCTTCCTTCATAATTTGTTTTTATACCACTCATTGGATTGCATTTGCTGTTTTCTTCACGAGCATGCCTAGTGTCTTAGTCCACTCAGGCTGCTAATACCATAGACGGGGCCTTAAACAACACAGGCTTATTCCTCACAGTCTGGGGGCTGGAAGTCCAGGATCAAGGTGCCAGGTGCTTTGGTCCCTGGTGAGAACCCTCTCCCTGGCTTGTGTGGGGTCAGGATGCCACTCTTATGACCTTGTTTAACCCTATTTACCTCCATAAGTCACCTTGTTTAACTCTGTTTACCTCCATAAAACCTATTCACCTTCATATACAGTCATATTGGGGGTTGGGGCTTCAACATAAATTTGGAGGGATACAAAATTCATTCAATACACTCACCTTTCTGCAGGGGCTGTGCTTACCCTGAACTGTTGCGTTTTAAGTCAAAGATGACATAGTTCCTCTCAGGGTTAGAGAGGGACCCACCAAAGCGTGTAGGAAAGGGCTGTCTGTGCCTCCAGACTCAGGGTGTGTGGCTTGGGGTGCAGAGGGAGAAATTCAGGGCCACGTGCAGTTACAGCAGCTACTTCATCTCCGTACTGCGCGGTTTCATTTCCCACTGCGTGTGGTGGGGCAGCAGCCTGTGTTAGCCGAGGGTGAGTGCCCCGCCTTGCCTGGTGTCACTGCTACCAAGCACGAGCCGGGAGTGAGGGCACCACCGGCTTCCTGCCTGGCCTCGTGTGCCTGGGGCATTGGAAATGCCATGGGTGGGTCTCAGCGCATTCCTGCAGCCCACCTTTCTCCCCGGCCCGCCCTTCTCATTTTGGGGCATCGCTGGAGTTTCCGTGATCTGTTTAAACAGGTGCAATGCCTGGTCCTCCCCTGCAACTTGCACCTGTGTCCACTGTCTCCAACAGAAATTCTTCACGTTTCTGGCAAGTGGCTGGCCACCTCCTGTGGTTTCTAGCACTGCTACTGGCTTCTCGCTATTCCTTTGGTCACGGGTGGGAAGCTGGGAAAGGGGACAAGATTCCTGTGTTCACAGCCCCCGGCTCTGACCTCAAGAGAGCTGGTGGTCCCCGGTGGAGCCTCTCCTCCAGCTAGAGTCAGATTGTACGGCAGTTGGCAGGCCCGGGATGGCTGGGATGTATTTAATTGTGTGGGTACCAGTGGTAAGGGGGTTGTGGGGAGTTGCCGGGCTGTGACCCAGACTGGGTGGTGCAGGAGGAGGTGGCAAGCATGGTGGCTGTCCTGGGTGCTTTCTCTACTTGGCCCTGCTGATGCTCTTGTAAGTTGACTGTAAAACATAATACACAGCGTTTGGAAGAAGAACACACGAGTGGTTCAACATATAGAGCAGTTAAAGTTAAGGGGGAAAATCCCTTAGCTCCTCACTCCCAGCCTGCTTCAGCTTTACTTTCTGGAGGTAACATTGTTAACAGTTTGATGCGCAGATGGCTTCTCTTCCACCTTCTTCTTCTTCTTTTTTAAAAACCGTTATAGTGTATTTTCCTGTCTGGTTTTTGAGTTTTCTCTTTTCCTGGCTTCCATGATCCTTAGCCTGTTACTGATTTGCTCTACCTCTGTGTGCAGTGCCCCCTGTCTCTGGGCCCGTCCTCTTCCTTGCCTGGCTCCTGCTCCCTCCACTTGGGCCCTGACCCCTGGGACACCCACCCCACGCCTACGGGGAGCACCTGGCTCTGCCCAGCAAGGCTTTAGGAGAGAATTTTTGAGGAGAGGGGCTGGCCCCATGGCCGAGTAGTTAAATTCGTGCATCCCGCTTGGGTGGCCCAGGGTTTCGCCAGTTCGGATCCTGGGCACGGACCTAGCACCATGCATCAGGCCATGCTGAGGCAGTGTCACACATAGCACAGCCAGAAGGACCTACAACTAGAATCTACAACTATATACTGGGGGACTTTGGAGAGAAGAAGAAGAAGAAGAAAAAAAGATTGGCAACAGATGTTAGCTCAGGACCAATCTTTAAAAAAAAAATGAATGTTTAGGAGAGGGAGAGGGGAGGAGGAGTATGGTTCTTGCGCCACTTTAAAAAAATCTGATTAAGTGAGGAAGCAAATTTTCCCCAGTTTGTTTCTGAAGGTGGAAGAGACTGGACCTCAGGGTCTGCCCCTCTCATGTGAGCACTGTGACCTTAGAGGATGGCCTGGTTCTCAGCCTTGAGCCGGGTCAGATCTGGTTAAAACATGGATTGCTGGACCCGGCCCCCAGAATTTCAGATTGAGTGGCTCCAGGGTGGGGCCTGAGAATGTGCATTTCAACGGTTATGCTTCTGGTGGGGGACCTCACTTTGAGAATTGGGGCTTAGAGCTTCTC